GGGGCCACAGGTCTCTGCTACTGTTATTTTGTGGGTGAAAATGGGAACCACTGCACTTTGGTTCCCAAAGTTGGGCTTGGGACCCAATTATGGGTCATGAAGCACCTTGGATAATCTCCAGAAATCAATTTAAAGGGTAATAAAATAATTGCTGATGTAATATTTTCCCTATAATTATTACAAAAACACGAAATAAGCAAAAATAAGTATTTATATTTGTGTACAAAGTGTTTAGATTGTCAAAAAGCCTGTGTTTTTAGGGTTATTAACGACGCTCATGTACTCAGACCAGTAATATTTGGGGTCACAAGTTTTTGCCATGAATATTTTGTGGGTCAGAAGATAAAAAGTTTGGGAACCACTGGTATAGACAGTGTTAGTGTTTATTATTAATTTTAAACTTTAGGACAAAAAAAAGATCACATTCATGTAAACAAGAAAAAATATTGTACATATAGTAAAACTGACCTTTTTTTTTGCTAATTCTTATTATTCATTTCGGTTTTAAAGGTCTTTAAAGGTAACCCTGATGGATTTGAGATAAAGATCATACTTTAAGGCTGGGAGTTGGATATTTGAAGTGGCCAACAGGCTAATTGCATAATCATGTTTCACTTTTTCTGTTAGTAGCATTGATCACATATTTGAAAACAAATGGAAAGAAAAACTGTTAGCCAAGCTAAGCTTGTTAGCTTTGTTCAAAGCTTTAAAGAGCCGCTGCAGAAGGACCAAAGAGCCACATGTGGCTCCAGAGCCGCAGGTTKCAGACCCCGGAAATAAAGGTTCGCTAAAAAGGAAATGTTTTAAACATGTTGTTTTTAAGTGAAACCTTTAACTATTACATCATAATGTAGTTGCACAATTGAATGAGCGCAATATCGTTGCACTAATTAATCTCTAATATTTAACACTTTTTCTTCTAAATTGTGTCCTAGTTTGAGTGTTGTGGGCTGAAGAGCTACAAGGATTGGAAAAACAACATCCCAGAATCCTGCCTGTGTAATGAACCGTCCACTAATCCGTGCTTACTTGTAAGTTTCAAACTACCGATATGGTGAAAACTGCACAATTTAATCTTTTTTTGTATTGTGGCACCGTCATTTACATGTGATCCAAACATTTTCATCTGTTGCTGCGGGTCATGTTTATCCAAGGTGCGGGACAGTGAGCAGCTCAGACCGATTTATGCCAAGGTAAAAATCTCAAATCACTGCAGAAAAATGTGCAGATTTATCACAATGTCAGATTCTTGTTCAGCAAATTGAAGTAGCTTCTTTGGAAGTTGCAAGAACGAAACGCAAACCAGACACTTTTTCATTAAAAGCATAAAAAACAAACTTGGGAGCAGTTCCAGGTGGAGGTGATAGAAGCTACGTATAATGTAGCTGTCCTAATGGCGAACAAAAAAAATGTAGTGGACATTAACAGGAAGAAAATGGAGATTGCTCTTCTGTGGAGCGTTCTTAAACACTAAGATCTATCCAAAAATATGATTTATTTTTAGAGTGAAGTCTTTGTAACTGTTTTACAGCATTGTTTTTGAAATATTCAAGTATGCAACATAAAACGTGTTGACTGATTTTTCTGTTTTAGCCATGCCCTCCAATCATCATTGCGAGTTTATCCTATGCTATTCAAGTAATAATGGGCATAATGTGGGGATTAATACTTCTCTGGGTAAGTATTCAGGTTATTATTATTATTATTATTATTATTATTATTATTATTATTATTATTATTATTATTATTATTATTATTATTATTATTATTATTATTATTATTATTATTATTATTATTATTATTATTATTATTATTATTATTATTATTATTATTATTATTGTTGTTGTTGTTGTTGTTGTTGTTATTATTATCTCTTTAAATTCTCATTTAATCATTTTTTTCTAACTTATATGAGTCTAATAAAACTCACTCAGTTATCCTATATTGGGCATTCATGTACAATTTTATAACTTATGCTTGTTAACTGACACAACACTGTTTTTATTATTATTATTTTTGCTGCATTAGGGTGGAAAATTTCTCACAATAATCTCCCTTTATATATATATATATAACTTTCTAATTCCTCTAAAAGTCATGAAAAGCTCTTTACTGCCCCCTAGTGACCTTTTCTGCAACTGCAGCTCAATGGAAAAGCAGAGAATAAATTAATTTAAAGGGAAACAAAATGTAAATAAATGCCTTTTTTTTTCTTCACAGGTGTTTTCAGTTGGGTTGTGTGTTGCTATTTTGTGTCAAATGAATAAGAAACTGGAAACTCCTAATGTGGCCTACAGCTCTGAGGCAAAGGCAGGAAACTACACCACTCTGATGGAGGATCCAGTGGCAGTTTAAACCAGACTTTTGTCTTTACTTTTTTATTTTCTCTGCAAACAACGAGGAATCGACTGTCAAAATGTTTGCAAATATTTGTTACTTTACAATAATATATATRCATTTTGTATAGAAAATGAATGTATAATTTCTGTAGTCAATATGCAGGTGTCACAAACTGGTTTAAAATAGCACTTTTATCTGTTCTAGGAAGCAACAAACTAAAGTTACAAATTATGTTCAAGTTTTTGAACCTCTTTTTCCTTACCACTGAAACAAGTTTAAAAACTACCTTCCAGTTTTATTCAGTCTTTGTAAACTCTACATTCATGAAAAAAAATTCCTCCAATAGTTTGAAGGAAAAAAGGGTTTTAAATATCAAACAAATTTAAAATATGCAATATAAATTCTGAAGTTTTCAGACATTTATTCCAACTATTTGTTACAGATTATGGCTTTATGTGACTAAATACACATGCTGTATATATTCACTTAATTTTTTTAGCAACTGATCTTTTTATGTTGTTTCTCCAGAATGTGAACTAATAAAACAATTTGTTTGCATGTTGACTGGTTTAAATGTTACTACACTGGTTGTGAGAAAGTTTACATTTTGTTGCTCCCCTGTCCTAATAAATGTCACAATCCAGAGCTTTTTTGTTTGCTTCTTCTTTTAATAAATTCCATCCRAATGTACGCTAGCTTAGTTTAATTAGCATAATTTCTAATAAAAGATTATTTGGCCAATTTATTAACTTAAATTTATGTGATTTTATTGAGGAATGTTTGGTGTCATCATAAAGAGGAAAACCCAAATAGTATTTGAATATTAAAATTTTCAGCTGGAAAGAAACAAAAACTTACAGGACATTTTTTCCGAATTTTAAGGTGTTTTTCCTCAAAGTCAGTTTTTTGTTGCTACTATTAAAAAAATGATACATTGATCAGGCATTCATTTGTTATATTTTTACAAAATGCAATTTTTGCAGATGTTTTAATCTAAATCCTATATCTGCTTACTTCTCCACATCCTACTCTTAGATTTAACCCTTGTTTCTACGTGACGGGTCACAAATATCCAAGACAAGACAGTACACCCAGCAAGCTCAAAACAATATAAGCAACACAAAACCTTTACAAGATCAGGACGGGCTCCTCCTGAAAGTCCACCTCTTAAGTGTCCTGATGCATCTCAGTAGAGAAAGAATCAAAAAGAAAAAATAAGTAGGTCCTCTGGATGGGTTCTTCTTTAGTGAAATGACAAAGATTAGTTCACCCCAAAGATCCAGTTCCCCGGCAAAAATAGAGTAATATTCTGTATGCTTTTAAGTGTCAGGAGGACTGTGATCAGTATACATTGGGGGAAACAAAACAGCCACTGTTCAAAAGAATGAACCAGCACAGAAGAGCTACATCATCAGGTCAGGACTCTGCAGTTTACACTCATCTACAGGCCAGGACTCGGCAGTTTACACTCATCTACAGGCCAGCGGTCACTCTTTCAGGGATGAGGATGTTCTCATCCTTGATAGAGAGGAACGTTGGTTTGAAAGAGGAGTAAAGGAAGCCATCTTTGTGAAGAAAAACCGTCCACCATTAAACAGAGGTGGAGGACTTTGTGTCCAGTTGTCCTCCTCCTACAACGCTGTTATTGCAAGTATGACTCCGCCCCCTGTGAGCAAAAGGTGTGAATCAGGGCCCCAACGATACCCAACACAAAGAGGGAAAGAGATACAAAAACAAGGGGATGTTGAACTAATAATAATCACAATGCTTTGTTTGATCAGCAAACCCCAAAACCTGCCCTTCCTGATCTGCGATCCCTTGATCTATCTATAAAAAATGACATAATATCAGATCTACATTCTCTACTGTATATTCTCATTAAGCTCACCTGCTCCTGATCTCAGTAATTATCCCGACTGTCAGCTCACTCATTGCTGCAACTTTCTGATTACTTTTGGTCTGCCTGCTCCTTGCACCATGCAGCTCCTCTGTTCGTGTCACTCCACGTCCTGCCATGCACTGGAATGTGACAACAAAACAAAACTTCTATTATGCATGTCTTCTTTTTGTAAGATTTGAATTAATCTTATTTGTTTAACTTTCCAGTTTAGCTCCTGTCACAATCTTATTTTTATTGTTCACATATGAACATGTTCTCTCTTTAAAACGTCCGTCAGATGGAAACAAAAACTTTTAGATTCTTTTATGTGGTATGACTACATGTCAAAGACACGTCAGAGCAAAAAATTTAGACCTGTCCAGAATAAATATCCTAGTTTATAATTATATTTTTACTATATCACTATAATAATATAATTATATAGTTTTATTATAATTGTATAATTCTATTTATTACCTCACAGCTTAATTATTTTGTCTCAATTAGCTGGCCTTTAGCTGGAGAATAAACAACATCCTGAGAATGTTTCCTCAATTATCAATAATCCCTCAAAATATCACAATAAAACCCATATTAGCAAGTGGAGCAAATTAAGCACAAAATCAAAAAGAAAAAAAATTGTATAGGTCTTCCGGACGGGTTCTTCTCTAATGAAACGTTTCGTCTCTCCTCCAAGAGACTTCTTCAGTCTGAGAGTTTCAGGCAAAATTCAGGCTTTTRAGCMCTGCCTCCATGTGACTGATACTCACATCDCATGGCTATCGTTGACACCTAATTAACACYTATTGTTAACAGGGGGTGGAGTGATACTGGCAATGGCCGCGCTGTAGGAGGGGGACAACTGAAAACGGAGGCCTCCACCTCTGTTTAATGATGGACGGTCTTTCTTCTCAAAAATGGCTTCTTTTACTCCTCTCTCAAACCAACGTTCCTCTCTATCAAGAATGAGAACATCCTCATCTCTGAAAGAGTGACCGCTGGCCTGTAAATGAGTGAAAACTGCAGAGTTCTGGCCATTAGATGTAGCTCGTCTGTGTTGGGACATTCTTTTGAACAGTGGCTGCTTTGTTTCCCCGATGTATAACTGGTCRCRGTCCTCCTGGCACTTAACAGCATTTACAACATTGCTCTGTTTGTGCCCCGGCACAAACAGAGCAATAGACCTACACAATTTTTTTTCTTTTTGATTTTTTACCTGGATTACTGAGATGCATCAGGACATTAAGCACAAAACGTTAAAGTGAAAAAAAAATTACCTTAAGACCAGAAAGAAGAATCACATTTTATTCCTTCTATTTACAAAATTTTACAACGCATTCAACTCATAAAAAAACAAGATGTGACAGAAATAAGAACAGACTGTTCATCAGGCATTTATGGTTTAAGTGCACAGGAAGACAGTATCTGTTGTTTCAGACAATAGATTTACCTTTTTTTTTWAAATTTGGGCCAGAAGAGATTCTCATTCAGAGCATCGTTACAACTCCTCCTGCTCCGGTAGCTTCAGACGAGGAAATCAATTCTTCTCTCGTCTCCACAGTGGCCTTGCCAACCTGTCTGCAAACATTAAAATCCAAACATCTGAACCCTAACTACATGTCTGCTGAACGTGCAACAAAAACAGCCCCTTTTCTGCCATCAGCTGGCCATGATAGCGTATAATTCACCCATTCAGTTCCTGTGTGTATTTACAGTTTGTGCATAAAGGAGTCGAGACATTCTGGTGTCAAAACGAGCCACAGGGCTCAGTCCTTTGTCTAATTTAATATTACGCAAGAAAATACATTTCTTATTTATGCTTCAAAAGAAATGTATTGTAAACACTTTAAAAAGGTTCTACAATTAGGAATAATGTTGAAACATGCTGAGTTAAACTTTTAGGTGTTGTTTTTTTTTTCGTGTTTAAGTGGACTTTGGTTTGATGTGTGAACAAGAAAAAGAGCAAAAACTAGAAGAGATCTGTTTCTCTGCCCCCAAAAATGTGTCCAAATGTAAGAAAAAAAACAGGGGAACATTATAATAAAATATGCAACAGTGTGAGAAATGAGAGGCTAACTCACCAGAGCAAAGTTATCATGGAAACTGGACGTAAAGAAATAAAAATATTTGCCTAATGGTGATAAAAATAAAGAAAACGTGCAGACTGAGAGGAGCTGCAACGAAAAGAAACAAGGAAGACGAGGRTTTGGTGTCGGCATAAACAAATGTTCGATGCATAACCAGCTTTGTGCTCATTTCAGGTGAATAAAACATGAAATGTTATAATAATGATAATAATAATAAAAATAAAAATAATATTCACTTCTTGTGGTGCTTTTGGGTTTGTGCTTGTGTAAAACAACAGTTCAGACACTTTAAAGAGGGGCTCTGTCAACAATTTAGGATTAATTTAAACTGCTGTAGACAGCTCTAACCTCCAATTTTGTCAAATTGTTAGTGATCGCACGTAAAAAAAACTGCCAAAAAAAACAATAAAATAGAAAATGCGTAGAGGCACTGTAATGATGGATGGAAAATAATAACCATAAAACATGTATAACATGTCCCCAAGAAATAAAATCCCCAATTAAGCACCAAACAATCTTAAAAAGCAAACTTAAAAAAAAATTGGCAAAACAACAACTTTGGAACAACATTTAAAAATGTAAATACTCAGACTATTAAATTTCAATAAATTTCTTCTTTTTACAGCAGTAAGGCTTAATATTTGTTTGCAATCTATGCGTGTAGATTACCTTTAAATGTCAATTACATGCAATAACATGTATAAAATCATAACATATATTGCTACAGCACAAAATAGCCAGGTTATGTTGATACAGCATAATGTGCAAATTCCAACCGTGTATGTTCGAGAGTAACTCCAAGTGTGTTAAAAAACGCACTGCTTCGCAGCACTAGAAAGCACCGGGGACGTATCTGTTGGACTGGAGAAGAGCGATAAACTCCTGCTTCTTTTTGACCTGCCCCATCAGTTTGATGCTCATGACGAGTAAAATAATCTGAGGACACAAGCAGAAAGGGGAATGAGTCGAGCAGCCGCCGGGCGAGGCGTGAAAACGCTCCGAGTGTAACGCGTACCCAAAACACCGCGCTGCCAAACTGGATGGCCATCACCAGGAAGAAGGCCAGCTTCAGCTCGGACACGTAAATCGGGAGGCAAGGCTGCGGATGAAGAGAGCAGAGGCATAAAAAGCTAAAGAAGGAGGCGTAAACAGGATATTGATCTTGGCTAGCTTGTCTTCCTCTGTAACTGAGTGCTGGAGCACACCTGTTGGAGCTTCTGAACATATTCAGAGAAAATCTCGCAGAGCGGTGGATTTATGGGCCAAAAAATTAAAAATAAAATAAAAAAACTTTCTAGATTTGTTTCTCTGGATAAACCAAAACAAAGGTAAATTTGGGGTCCTTTGTGTTTTATGTTTGCTTTGTAGACTTCATTGATTCCACTTGCTCTTTTTTATTTTTAAACTTTTTTAGAAAATTCCACTTGCTCTTCAAAACTGAAGCCAGCAGGAACTGGTTTATGGGAGCATCGTGACCTTTGCTTTAAATATGAAATAACTTCTTCAGTTTGTTTACATGAAAGGGGGCGGGGCTTGAAATGAAACCAGCCTGCAGGAAGGTTGGTCCTGATCCAGCTTGATCCTCAATCAGCCTCCTGCTTCTCTGCATTTGGGTCCAATAAATCAAGAAGATAAATGGGACAAATAGTTCTGCTGGGGCATTTTGTACTATTTTTGGTCCTTACAACACAAACGTGTCAATACTTCCTAAACTCTGTTTCCAGATGTGTCAGATTGGTTATAGTCTTATGTAGGTGGAGTTGTTGCTCATTTATGTTCGATCAAATCAGTGCTTTTGTAATTTGGCACAAAAAATAAAGAAATTTGTGTTTGGTAGGTTATTTCTTTCTTGTAACAATTTGGAAAGTCTGTAAATTTCCCTTTTATAAGGTGCCACATTTGTAAGGAACATGCATTTGTGGGATGAGCAGTGGAGCTCAGTATGTGGGTTTTGCGGTTATTGACACTTTTTTTTGAGTTTCTGGCACCTACAGGTGCTGCCAATCATGTGCCTATAAGATTTATTGCCAAGAAGTATTGTTACAACAAATAAATAATCTACAAAACTCAAATGTCCTTACTTTTTGTACTATATATATAATGTGCTAATTTTCAGATATGTCACCATATTAAGACAACAGAACAAAATAACACATCATGGCATCAGGTTTCTTTAAAAGCAAAACRAGCTTGCAGGGATTAAATGATTCTCAAAACCAGTGGATAATTATAACTGTTGTGGTGACTTAATGAAGATTATTAAAGTTTGTTTTACCTCTCGATAAACGTACTGGTTCTTCGGCGCTCCGAGCGTCACACTGCTCCGTAGTCGAATCTGGTTAAAACAAAATAATTCATTCAAATAAAAAAATCAACTTATTATCTTATTATTATTGTTACTATCACCTATTATTATTATTATTTATGTGACTGAATATTGTATTTTTTGTCTCAAAGGGGGGGAAACACTTTATCTTTTTATTTATTTGAATATTGTACATTTGTAATGTTTCTGTTACCTTCTGTTGTTATGTTCAATAACACTTATTTTCAAAAAAAATCTCAAGTTTATGCAATATACTTGTCTCCTTTCATGGTTTAGGCTGACATCATTCAGTTATAACATAACAGCTCTACAGTTGTGATCTGCATCTAAATTTTACTATATCTTGTCCTTTTTTAAACACAAATACCTAAAAATAAGTACCTAAATTCATGACCAAATCCTGAAAATAAATAGTGATATTAGACATTTTGACTATGAAGTTGATTTTGTGTATACAGGCAGAGATACTGACGCATTTTCCTGGATAATGACAGTTACAGGAAGCAGGGATGGAAGGGCCCCAGTCTTTGTAGCCTTCAATAAGACCGCAGCATTCAAACTGGAGATGACAAAAACAAAGTGTTACATTATCAACAAGTATGATGTCTATAAATTATTTTAAAAAATAAAAACTCTTTAAAGCACAAGAGCTGACAYACATAATGTGATTTTTAGTGAAAATTATAACTTTTTTCTACTTTTTAGTTGTAGATTAAGCCTTTTTTTAAGAGGAGATTTAGTGCTGTAGGTTTTGTTGCCACCAGGGGGCAGTATCGAGACAAAAAGCTACTCATGGTGCTGTTTTTTAAATTTTATWAAGTGACATGCTTCTTTTAGATGACATTAATGTGGTTTTACTTTCAAAATAATTGCTGCTTACCTCCTCTTGGATATTATGGAGCAACGTCCTGTTGCCTTTGCTGGGTCCACTGAGCGGCATCATAGCCAGCAGCCTGGACTCATCACGTACAACGCGTTTCTAAAGACGGACAAATCACACTGGAGCATCTTGTACTGTAAGGATCCATATAAATACACAAATATGGGTCATTCCAGTACAATACCTCATAAACATCTTGGTAACTCAGTGCTGTTCTAATAATAATTGTTTGACTGACTGCAGCCATCCCCGCTGCATACTGGACACATTGAGGAGAAAATATATAACAAATATTACTACAGAGACACAAGATGAAGTAGTAAAACAAAAACAGGAAGTGTTTTTTTATATATACCAGAATCAAACACCATCTTTTTCCTTTGCAGGCTCCGAACACGCCGAGCRCTGAGAGCAGCAGGCAGCCAACCTCGATGGCGTACATCATCGCTACAGGAATACTAGGCACCATCTAAAGAGCAAATACACACACAACTTATACTAATGCAGAGTACTAGGATACTGCTGAACCAAGCTTTCTCTGGACAGTATAGTTTTGCCCATTTCAAMAGACGCATTGTTTCCCAGAGAAATACAATATAAAAAATGTGCTGCTGCGGTGCATTCAAGGGATATTTATGGAAGTGGTCATTAATAATTCCTCAGCTGCCTCCAATAAATAGCATCTGCTTCTAAAACTGCAATCGTCCAGTTGGTAAATTCAGTCTTACTTTGCCAGTTTGAAGGAGGTCCCCGTGCCAAATGACAGTCATTTTCAGCATGAAGAAGCACAGGGCCTGAAGGAGAGGAACACAAATCATAAAACATAACAATTTAAGGGTATAAACAAAKACATTTGTAAGCTTTTTGACACTTAAAAACGTGTTTTGTTTCTGTGAACCCATTTCTAGAAGCAAAAATCTGAAAAAGAGTAAGTTTGTGTTTTATTAAGCAGTGCAAAAACATTAGTCTTTTTTAAAAAAATAAGGTTTAGCCTTAATAAAACATTTAAAGAAGAATATCTATTCGAAATATTACGATGATCACATGACCAGAAGTCAACAAAAATGCTATTTATTAAATTTAACTCATATAATAAAATATATTTGGGCTTTAGCTGACACTGTGGATCATTTGAGGCTGAATGCTAACTTTAGAGAAAATATTAGCATCACAACAACAGATATAGCACAGGCCTCGTAAAAAAAATGSTTTACCTACCATATGTACAGCGTTAGCGAAAATAAACGGCCTTTTCAGGCTCGTTTTATCCGCCACCACGACCACCGAGCTCTTCTGCATGTTCGTGCCGCCGCTGCCCCTTCAGGCGTTAATAAAATAAACCTTTTTTATTCATAAAGAAAATAAGAAAGCAGCGAGGAGGCAGTAAGGGCATCTGCTGTATCCGCGCGTGACGTCACGGAGATGCGCTGGATGTGAGTTCTGCGTTGCCTTCAGGGGCCGCTCGGAAATGTGGGTTTTACCATGTGATTAGCGCGTTTTACGCACGTTAGAATGGCCGTACCTGGGATTTTAGACCCAGGGTGGAAGAAGTTCACCTTCATCATAACCCCAAAATACACGATTTTATTTATTTTATTTTTTAGGCATTAAAATATTTTTTATTTGTAATCATTTTTATTTCTCCATCAAAATAAAGAAAATGGCAGGTAATGAATTACTCAAAAATTACTTATTGTTATACAAACTTTCATATTAAACTATGCAGTTTTGTTTTATGTGTCACTTTAAAAAAAATTGAAAACTCATCTCAGCATCAGCTATGGCAAGGGACTCTGAGTTTTTAACATTCAAACCAAGCATTTGCTGCTATGAGTCATAATTCAACATCACTTGATATTCTTCACATGTAAAACAAACCTTTCTTTCTTCTCTTTTGTCCCAAAGCCTTGTTCCGATTGATGAGATTTGATTATAAATTATAGCTCATATTTGAGGGATTCAAAACATTCTGAATGTAATTAATTGTTTGAATTTAGCTGTAATGAACTATTCTTTATGCATTTTATTGTGTGAATGACTCTCAGCTACCACACCAAGAGTTAGCTCAATATCTGTCAAACTGACTGAGATGTAGCAAGTTCAGTTTGCTGTGGCAGCCATCTTTTATTGGATTGACCTTAAAACATAATATGTTGTACATCTAGTCATTTAAATAGGTTTCATTTAACTTCATGCTTCATAAGATTTTATTTTACTAAGAAACTAACACACACACCCATTTAAAAAAACGTTATTGTCTGCCCTAAAACAATGGTAAATGTACTTTGTCTCATCTAATAGCACTTATTTTCTTTGAAGATGATTAGGAGCTTAACTGTTTTTGTACATTGACTGCATTTCCCAGAATGCAACAGCTGCTATAAGGCTGGGCTGCAGGGGAAGTACAGGTGGGGCGTGTTTCTATTGTTACCACAGGTGGGGAGARGAGAGAGTAAAGTCAAGTCAGCCAGATCAGAAAAACAGACTAGAGAAAAGATGCGGAAACAAAAGGAAGGAGCAACTCAGAGGGAGGAAACAAGTGCCTGACRCTTAACTCTTATTTACAGGGATTTTTATTTATCTAAAACCTTATTTTCATCAGCTGGAACCTGTGAGGACTAAAAGGAACGGGATGTGTTTTTGCACTGTCTGTAAAGTGGGTCAACACCTGAGGAGGAGCTGAACAGAGAGGCAGAACTGAGGCAGTTTTGTCTCACCGAGAGGACAAGAGAGAAGAGAGACACTGAACCATCTGGGGACAAAACAACAACAAAAATAATGCTGAACAAGAAAGAAAACCCTTTTTGTTTTTAGCATATTCATGCAGAAACCACTGAATTTTTGTACTTTATTTATTTTAAGCGGATAAACTAAACCTTCTGAAACTTTTTAACTCTTCACTGACTTTATTCTCCACCTTGATGTGATTTATTGAAGCTATTTTATTTTACATCAAGGGTTAATATAGTCTGCTGAGCTGTCATTCAAATCCAGAGCAACAATTTTAAGCAGCTTGAATTTGTTTTGTAACTTTGGGCTCTTTTCTAGTCGACCATAACGATAATCCATCATCTTCTGGCCTCAAAGGTCAAACATTCCAAGTGATCTAAAGGTGCAGCCTGAAGAGGGATCGTTTCGTTCGTCGACTCAGATTAAGACGCTGTAGTTCTACCATGCAGGCATCTGTACCCGAGCACGATGACACGTTCGATTTCCTCTTTAAGATCATCCTCATCGGGGACACCAAYGTGGGCAAGACCTGCGTGGTCCAGAATTTCAAGTCGGGCATTTTCGCCGAGAAGCAGCAGAACACCATCGGGGTGGACTTCACTGTGAGGACGGTTGACGTCGAAGGGAGGAAAGTGAAGGTAAGTTGATCAATTAAAACGAGGAGAAAATGAAATAAATGCCTCTAAGTAATCAAAAAAAAAAAAAAAAAAAAAAAAAAAAAAAGCAAATCGCACGTGATGGATTCCTTTCGGTTTGGGAGTAACCTGCACGGCATTACAGAGAGGCGTACTCTGGAACAGTGGCAGTTTGACTCGGCCTTTGAACGAGTCCGACAGGTTTCTCACACGAAGGACCTGCTGTTCAGGTTTCTCCAGCCGAGGCAGAGATGGAGCGTAGAGTGAAATGCCTGTGTGGTCATCACACTAGAAAAGGTAGTGTTTGTGGTGATGATGTTTGGTCGAAAAATTTACCTGGATGTAGAAAAAAACAACTTTTGCATCACGAAGCGGCCATCTTTGAAAAGTTTATTGGCTCAAGTTAAGGCAGGTTATGAATAAAATTGCACTGATTGCATTGGATACTTGACTCTTTTTAGTCATTTGAGTGGATTATGAAGTAAGAATATTTATTTATTTATTTATTTATTTATTTATTTATTACATGGAATTAGGTTTTACAGTGTAGCCAAAAGAAAATTAATACAAAATTTTAGCCTAAAATCTACTTGAAAAATATTGGAGGTATCAGGAAGTTGTAGCTATTAAGTAAATTAAGAAATTAAATTAATAATAAGTACAATTTCATGCTATATCTGGTGGGATTTGTTTGACCGTATGAGAATGACTCTCAGCTACTACCACACCAAATTTCAACATTTCAAGCAAAGATGTTGCACAGTTAGTTGCATTCAAAGAGTCGTGGTTTGAAGGAGAGATGGATTCAAGAATGCAGACAAACAGGAGAAGCTTGAGTTAAAAAMATATGAACAGATTTATTAAAGAAACAAAAGAAAAAAGGCTGACGTGGCGACTGCAAGCACAACTCAAGGAGACACGGAGGAGAATTGCAATGGGCGTGGAAGCCTAAAACGTCTGGAGGTGTGGAGAAGACTGGAGACAGGTGGTTTGGAACAGGTGAAAGTGGGCGTGGCAGGAGAGAGGAGCAGCAGGAAAAGTACTGGGGAAATGAAATGGTGCGACCGGGAAACACAGGAAGTGAAATAACAGCTCAGACAAAATGAAAAACATCATAAAGACTACCTAAATATAACCAAAATTAAAATGAAATGAAATGAAATAAAATAAAATCTGAGGAAATAATAATGTTTTATATGTTTACCTTTAAAATTTTTGTGAGACAGAGACTCATAAATGTTAATAAGGAATCTGGAAACATTTGTTTGTTAATTTAAAGGTTAATTATATTTATTTATTTATTTATTTATTTATTTATTTATTGGTTACAATTTTAATATAGCTCGTGGCTGTACTGAATGGGTTACATGTGAACTCCCATAATCTGCTGCTTAGAATTATTATAATTATGGTGGCTCGTGTTTCAGGGTCTACTCCAGCACCCGCCTCGGGTCATGCAGTGGAACCACTGAAAATCAGATGTCACCTCTTTGTTTCTTCTTTCTTCAGCTCCGTTTTCTCAAGTTACCTGGTTAAAAATAGTTCTGAGAATTCTTTTTATGACCGCTCTGCCTTCAGTTGGAGCCAGAAAATGATGTAAAGAAAGTAACAAAAAAAAAGGAGGAATTCCACATAACACATAGTACAGAAAACTGGGCCAACATGAGCAAAACTAAAAACCAAACACRTGTCGATGATTTAACACAACTTCTGTTTTTCTGGTTAACAAAGCTGAAAATTAAGACGTTGGGCAGGTGAGTCTGGTTGCTACAACTGTCAGACCCTGAGGGAGAACACTGAAATATCAGAATGATTTTATTCTCAATGGAGACTCTAATGAGTTTGTGCTCAAACAGCTGAAGCCTGTCGCTTTGGCTTTTATTTACATAAAACTATAGCRTAACAGTTCCTCTATTAGCGGCAGAGCTGTTGGTGATAATTTGGACATCTGAGCTCTGACATAAAGCCGCAGCACCTGTAATTACGAACGCTTCCTTGTTGAATCACCTCCAGCTGGTGATTATTATCTCAGTTTGGTAATATACAACCGTCACGTACATAACAGGGTTTTAAAAAGGGAAGTAAAATGTTCCAATCTTTGTATGTGTGGGGACGTAATGCAGAAGTGTCTTCTCTGTCAATGATTTAATTAGCATGAAGGATTTTTGGTTTGAGCTTGTTTTTAGACATTCTTTGACTAACTCACTGACACCTGATATTTTCTTCTCAGCCATTCGATTATAGATGTTTTTAAGTTTTTGGAATCAGTTTCAATTATACTTTATTTGTCAGAGTGTCTCATAAACTCAGTGKTATACAGAGGAGCTGATGGTGGACTGAGAAACTGGATTACTGTCTTTGGCAACTCTTTTTCTCTCATAAGATGTGCCATGGACCACGCTTCAGTTCTCGCAAAAGACCGTATAGTTGTTTTCAAAAATCAAAAAGAAAAAATAAGTAGGCCCTCTGGATGGGTTCTTCTTTAGTGAAACGTTTCGTCTCTCCTYCAAGAGACTTCTTCAGTCTGATGAGTTTCAGGTGAACTCGGCCTTATAAGCACTGCCTCCACATGGTGGACAAACAGGTTAGCCATATGCAAAAGAGGGTCATCGCCTAACAATAGACTTGATTAGCTCTACTGTTCAGAGGGTCATGTGCCCCATCACCTGACTTATTGGTTTGGATGCTGTGGCTGTGGTTATTTGATGTTTTGTTATGTGTATGTAGTGAGTGCAAGCGGGGTTCAACACCCCCTTGTTTTGTCTCTCTTTCCCTCTTTGTGTTGGTATCATTGGGGCCCTGATTCACACCTTTTGCTCACAGGGGGCTGAGTCATACTTGCAATAACAGTGTTGTAGGAGAAGGACAACTGGACCCGAAAGCCTCCACCTCTGCTTAATGGTGGACGGTTTTTCTTCACAAAAATGGCAGCAGAAGCATCCAAACCAATGCCAGGTCAGAGCCAGCTCTTGGCATAGGCAAACTAGGCGGTCGCCTAGAGCGCCATCTGCTGGAGGCTATTTAATATTATTTATTGTTTTTTTAAATCGTCTTACAGGCTCTGACATGTTAGATAATTTTGAAAATGAGGTTTTGAAAAAATCTGTAAGATTTGAAAAAATCTGTGAGGTTGCCCTATACGTCCGTATACCTGCAAAATGATGTAAAATCCTTATAAATTACGGACAATCCGTACAAGTTGACATGTATGTTGTTTTTATAAGTTTACCATAGTACCTT